ACCTGAGTAATTGGCAAAACATCAGTGACAGAATTGGCCTAAATATCATCGACAATTTGATGACTTACTCTTATCACAATGATATACATCTTCAGTGGATCCCCTCCCACGTGAACCTTCACTTTAATGATCTGGCCGATGAACTGGCCAAGGAGGGCTCCAATGATCCCATAGATAGTAGTGGCCTTCTAACATACAATGAAATCTATGCAAAAGTAAAGGCCGACAATAATAGGACTTGGAGGATTCCACCTAGTCGTGAATGGTATCAACAAAATAGTCCTGGGGCTGCCCTGGAGCTAAAAGGTGATAGGAAACTACAGACAGCTATCACAAGACTAATCACTGGTCATACCCGCGGACTAACATTTGTTCAGGGTCAAAAGACGTTCCCTGTATGCCTAAAATGTAATGCTCACCAGGCTTCACCTGATCATTTGCTGTCCTGTATGGGACAGGAGAAAAATTTTATTTTGGATGATCCGCAGATGGTGTTTGATTTTCTGTCGGTGAACGGTCTCCTGGACTTGGTCTAGCCTTGTTCTGGGCCAAGAGGAATAAGTACCACCATAATATGGGTGTTTTATTTCTTTCTCTTCAAATAACTAGTGCTATTTTTCAATTAATTTGGCTTTTCAGTTAAAAACTTTCTTTTAATTTCAATTACCGTTGATTTTAAACAATTTAGTTTTTAAAAAAAAAATCCGTTTTAAAAGCATAACTCTAAACAAAATAAACACGTGATTTCCGATAACCTTAAAAATATCAATCAGGTGACGTAGTCTTCTTGCTTATGCTAGCCCGATCATGTTGATATTTTAAATAACCTGGCATAACGAATAAAAAATAATCAAGTATTGCAGAACGCGCAATGAACAACTTTTTTGATTAGAGCTATAAGCTAACAAACTCCACTGGTGTTATCCTTAAAATATTCCATCATTTAATGGCTTATTTTGAAATAATGGCTTTCGCTAAGCCAATAAGAAAATACCATTTCCTAAATGCCTCCGAAATGAAAAATGTGATTAACAATCAAAAATCAGGCTTCATAAAAAGTTGGCAATTGTATTCATTGAGCCTCATGTTGAATTTCGTATTCTTAGAGTCTACCGTTTACCGGCAATCCGGTTTACAGACACACACACAAACAAACACACTCTTTATTTTATGATATGTATAGATTTTAGTTAGTGGTTAATATTATTATTTTATAAATCGCGTTCCGAATTTCATATGAGATTTGGATTTTCTGCCAAATGTGCAATCAAACGTTGATAATTAAAAAAAAAGATAATTGAACAGCTGGCAGCTGTTAAAAATGGAGCATCACGTGAACAACAACGCGTTGTCGAGCAAGTTTGAGTTCTCTGATCATGGAATATTTTGTTTACATGATCTCAAACAATGGGATTTAACGTCGTAAGACTATTTTATTNAAATAGCTGCTCGCCAGATTTTATTGCATTATAAAGAAAAGTAATTGATATTCGATTTTTGAATTATAATTGATTTATGTGGATAGTGGCATAGAATTCAGCATTACGTCATGGTAAATGTTATTCCTACTAAGTGGAAGTAGTTGTGTTTTTTTTATATTATACCCAATTAAACAGCTGGCAGCTGTTAAAAATGGAGCATCACGTGAACAACAACGCGTTGTCGAGCAAGCTTGAGAATGGAATATTTTGGAATATTTTCATGGAATATTTTGTTTACATGATCTCAAACAATGGGATTTAACGTCGTAAGACTATTTTATTTGGTCATTATTTTTTTGAGTCTTGTTTCATGCCCTTAGCAGCCCGCATCGTGATGGAGGAAGACGCTATATCAATGATATTCTGTCTTCAAGAATTTCAATAAAAATGTTCGTCTGTACCAGCAAACCATTGAGGCCATTTTCCCAGTATGCTGTTCAATACATAACCTTCATACTATTCAATACATAACCTAAATGTTATTTAATATTGAACGAACACGATATGAATCTATAAATAATAATAAGTTTCAATTTAAACCTGTGTCACCAATATAACTTACATTACTACTAATATCCTTTTTACAATGTTTTTCGAAGCTTTTGAGCCAAAGAAAATGAATTTAAAAGAATTACTGTTTGCATGCTTGGGGTGAAGTTATAGTTTATAAACTATAAATGCCACTTTATCGGAAAGCGTTATTTGGCTTTTAGAGACGTCAAATAACTTAAATAATTAAAAAGATTTTAATTTTTTTTCAAAAAATAACGCCAATTTGGCGAGATTTTTTACACAGAGGAAAGTTAATAAAATCAATGAATAATTCTCATTTCTTGCAATTTTTTATGAACCCAAATAATGCAGCGTTGAAGTAAAATTTTGTACGTTAAAAAATTTAATCACAAACGTTTCTAATTTTCGCTGAATTTTTTCTTTTCTTCATATCAACCTCTTGCGCCATTTTTAGATTTAGCGTAAAAAGAGGTAGCATAAAAAAAGACCAATTTTGACTTAACAATCATAAATAACTGTTGTAGAATCTCAACAATTATGACAATAGCACATAAATAGAGAAAAAAATCGGTCAACAAAATCTCTGAAAACAGTCATAAAGATATACCGAAATTATTTTATATGTGTATAACTATTTTTTGTTTGAACAGTTTTTATTTAAAGAAGCGAAAGGTTTTCGAATTATTTATATAATTTCAATAATTTATAGTTATAAATTTAAAATGACATAATTTATTGTTATTTTAATTTAAAGTTTAACTTTTAGTCCATTTTTAAGATGCAGTAATTGCATGTACTATTCTGAAGAAAAAAATCAACAAGTCAATTTTAAAACTTTCTATCAGAGCGTTGTTGTAAAAATGGTATTTTTTACTGCACTTTTCATAAAAATTTCAAAAAAGGAACGAGAAACTGTTAAAGTTACTTAAAAACTAAACTTTTTATGATAAAACGAAATCAAAAAATTTTATTTTCAATTATCAGGCGAATTTATTTTTTTTTTTTAAATTGAACACCGAATGATTTTAAAAATTTTAAGACAGCAAAAAGAAAGTTTTAGTAAGTTGCTTCAAAGAAAAATATTAACATCTAAAGGTCTCAGAAATTGAAAATCGTGCTAAGTTCTTGAAAATATTTATTCTATTCTTAAAAGCTTAGAGTATTTATATTTAAGCTGATTCAAATATTGGAATAAATAATTTTACTGATGTTTCTTTTAACTGTTATTTTTTTCTAACCGATATAAAAAGGATAAAATTGAAAAAATACTTACAGAGTTTGAAGGAAAGAAAGTCTAGTGAAATTGGAGTGTTTTATAAGTGGCAAAAAGTTTCCAGACAAATCCCTAAAATGTTAAAAGTATGTAAATGTACTGGCAAAAGACTGAGATCATTTAAAAGATAAATACTCCCTGAAATGAACTTTTAAAGTAAGTATTAAAGTACTAAAATAATACACTTTTTTTGATACATTTGTTTTAACGATCAAAGATAATATTTTTTAAAAATAATTTCTTAAAATACTTATTGTTCCAAAAAAATATCGACCATTTAAAAAAAATCAACTAAAAAAAGCAAAGGAGAAAAAATTTTACCATTTGCTGCGTTTTGCTTTACAAACTAAAACTTTTCTACACTTATTAGTTACTATATTCACCAACAGATGGCACTATAGATTTAAAATACCATAACACGCTGTTTTTTACTGTACTAAATACTATTCAAATTCATATCTTTGCGAAACTATCTATCAATTGGGTACTTGCACTTCAAGAAGAAAACTACGGATACCTACACATGTGATCTATAACGTCATCGCCAGCTTATCGTTTATAAGCAAAATGGCGTGCTGAAGTTGAATTAAATTGAAAGTTGAAAGCGTGTTAAAGTTATCATCATTAGTTAGAATGTTAATAATGCATGTTAACCATGATAGAATTTTGTTTTGTGTACCTGGCAACTTTTATGCATAAATAGTTTGTTTATGTTCTACATGGCATCGTGCCTGTCTTTATGCTAATTTTTATGAATTATAATTAATTTTTATGTTTATGAAACATTTGAGAAAGAATCATTGTGAGAGAATCTATCACTTAAGTATGTATCACTTAAGTTCGCGCGCAGGTTGTCGGGCTACTGAAGCGAGGGTGCCATCCCCTCCGCAGAGGATCAAAATTGTGATGGCATGTCTTCGGATCATCCTCCGGGATGTTTCCCAGACCGTCGCCAATAGCCCATTGTGCAGCTCTAGTGCGACGTAAATTAACAACAACTATCACTTAAGAGATTTTATACTTGGCGGGCTTGGTTTACTCGAAATAGAATGGTTACTAGCGTAAACAAATACCGCGTTTTAACAACCAATCAGAATTGAGATACCTGCGCTACGTCTCTTGCAGGTATCCTATTTTATCATCCTCGCGTATTAAAAATTTTAAAAAAGAGTTACAGTTGTTGGAAATGCCGAGTATTTTCAAAACACTTTTCTTGGCTGTCTTATCAGTGCCATCTGTTGACAATCTTTAAAAGTAATTCCAAAATTTGGTGAGAGGCGAACCATCTGATTTTCTCAGCAGAACAGAGCATACCTTATATTTCATTCTACTGCTTTTCGTTTTTCATAAATTGATTTTTCAAATCACCAATTATTTTTTCTACACTCGGTGATTAGTCCCCATTTATAATTTTATTTAAAGTTTTCAATTTATATAAATTCAAATTCAATATTTTTATAATCATTTAAACATAACTATTAAATATTTATCCCCAATTATTGATTAAAAATCTGTATATAAAAAATTGATGTTTGGAAAATTCCCCGAATAATATTAATGATTACCAAATAAGTTTATTAAAACAATCTAGGAAATAAATGGGAATGAATTATTTTAAATGACAGCCTAAACTATTTTCAATTATACTTGAAATTTTCTTTTGTTATCTTCAAGAAACTAATTAGTTGCTTCAATAAATAGAAAGAAATATTTGGTGGAGAGTAAGGAATCATAAACTGATTGTGAGGCATTATTAAATTAATTTTCACACCGAATAATGTCAGATATGAGAGAATTTGCGAAAGAAATATTTTCATTTATTTCGTTGAAAGATGTTATTCAGAAGGAAGAAAGTATATAAAACATGCATTTTGAACAGTTTTGATACTCCACGGAATTTGATTTCTGATGTTTCGGACGATATAAAACTTAATTATTTAGAAATAAATTAAATTAAAACATATAAATAATGCAGTTATGCGTATTTAAATTAATGAATAAATGAAAATATACTTTAAAAAATTTTAAATTTTGTCCCTTTAATTTTCATAGGGAGAAAAACCATATTTTTTATGTAGTGCATGTTTTGCGTTATTCGTAACACAGAGTTCGAGGGTAATATTGATTCATAAGATATTGTCACTTTACAAAACTTAACAAAATACTCTAAACTAGTAATTATAACACGGTAAAACAATATCTGAGCGTCAAATCAATTCGTAATATCGTCATTTTGCGGAATTGAACAAAATGAACATTACTGGCAAATATGTCTCGAGAACTGTGATAAAGCAGCAGATTTTGCTCATTCATTATGATTATTAATAATCACCACCAAATTATGAAAATTGGATTAATTATTGAATATTTATCAATTAATTGACCGGTATTCATTACATTGATAAATTTTAAAGTTAAGAGTCACTTCCCGATATTCAATACACTAATGCACACATATGTAAACTCACGTTTGTGAAAATTGCATCACCATGAAGGACTTACGCGAGTGAGCTGAAATTTTCAGGAAATGTAAAGTAGAGCATGATATGCAAATGATTAGAATTTCAGATCCGTAGCTCATGCGTATGCTGAGCAGCGCCCTCTGAACGGGTGATGGATCCGAATAAATAGACGGCTGTAGCGAGGCGTGTATGGTAATCACTGGTTATCTGCTTGTGGTAAACGTTAGCTTAGTCGTTACTTATGCCTCTTCGACGAAAGAGAGCGAGTTTTCAACAACTTAGGGAGTTTGAACGGGGGAGAATCATCGGCCTTTGGGAAGCTGGATTATCTTATTGCGCAGTAGCCGCTCGTCTGCAGCGTGACAGGAGCACAGTGATGCGTGTTTGGAAGCAGTGGACGAGCGAGTGTCAGACAACTCGAAATCCGGGAGTGGACTCCGAAATGTCACGTCAGCTCACGACGATGGACACCTGGTCCGCATGGCGCTGACGGACCGTACGGCTCCCTCTAGACAACTGGCAGCACAGTGGCCAATAGCTACAGGTGTTTCATTGTGTGCTTCATCAATTCGTAGACGTCTGCTGCAGCGTGGACTGCGCGCAAGGACTCCTTTATACAGGATTCCCCTCACGTTAAACCATCGCCGCCTGCGGCTGCAATGGGCCAACCAGCATAGGGAGTGGCGTGCTGATTGGCAGCGTGTCGTGTTTTTGACGAATCCCTCTTTAATTTGTGGTACCATGAAGGCCGCATTCGTGTCAGACGCTATGCCGGTGAATGCCACCTTTCGGAGTGCGTTAACGAACGTCACAGTGGACGAACACCCGGAGTTATGGTCTGTGGTGCCATAGCATATCATGGACAATCTCAATTGCTACGAATTGTGGGTAATCTGAACAGCAATCGGGACATCAGTGAAGTTCTACAGCCCCAAGCTGTCTCTTTCCTTCAAGCCTTGCCAGGCGCTGTATTTCAACAGGACAATGCCCGCCCTCATATTGCTAGGACTGTTCAATCCTTCCTTGCATCGCGGCAGGTACAGCTTCTTCCTTGGCCTGCGTATTCCACGGATATGTCGCCGATTGAACAAGTGTGTGTTTTCGTTGGTCGGCGTCTCGCTCGTGATCCTCGTCCTGTTCCTTCTACAGACGAACTTTGGGTACGCATACAAACTGTATGAAATGCTCTTCCTCAGACAGACATTCAAAATTTGCTTGACTCCATGCCACGTCGTGTAGCAGCACTTATTGGGGCGGGTGGTGGCTACAACATGCATGAGTTTATACATATATATATGCATGAGTTCACAAACATGAGTTTTTATATATATATATATATATATATTTGGATTACGTTATCCTATATGATTCTTATTTTTTGTTTAAATAAATTGATTAAAATAAACAATTTATACCAGTTTGCGTAATAATTAACTTTAAAAAGTCAAAAAAAGGAAAGAGAAAATATAGGCATTTTATGAAAAAACTCTAAATCTATTATTAATACAATACGTTAAATTAGTGTAAAAAGACGTTCAAATTCGATCAAATTACCGAAAAAAGCACGAGTACTCAAGGTACCAGTGCTTGCCTTGAAACCACTGAATCACCGTAAATAAATAAATGCTACGCATGTTTCACTAATAGTGTGAGTACTTTTTAACGTAATTTGATCCGGAAATTTTTACAATATATGGAACAGTAAGAATTCAACAAAAAAACAATTTATTTTCTTCAAAAGTGTTTATTTAATAGTATTTTACCAAATTTCATCAATAAGTAAAAACTTTTTTTCCATTTTTAAATTATTACTAGATACTTGAATACTTGAAAAAAATTCAAAGCTTACAATTCTTTAATATCTGTTGGAAGGTTTTCCGGTATTGAATGGAGACCACGATTTTCACAAAAGAGGCTTTTCCATGAACATTGGCAAAACGGGACAGGATAGCTAAGTTCTGCAAAGAAATATTAATTTAGTGGATTTCATATGACTTTAATATGCATTGTTTAAAAAAAAAAAAAAAACACATTTTAGTATAGAAAGAGTGACTTAGGCTAATTGACACATTTTTTTCTTCATTTTTTTTAAATTTTCAATTTTTTACCATACTTTTAAGGAGTAGAAACAGCAAAATTTATGTATGAATAAATTTAATATAACAAAATTGTAATAGATTTATTAACACAATTAACTTTATAATAAATTATACATTTTTATAATAATTTTATAAAGTTAATATTTATTATAAAGTATTATCTTTATTTGTTGTTCATTTTTTTCAATTTGAAATTTTTTTTAATTCGTAACACTCATCAACTGTTTGCATCTTAGCGTTCCCACTCTTGACAGCTTAACACTTTGTTGACCGACAATCTTACCCAGAAGCAATGTCAAGTCACCAGCTATTACTTTATAATATGGAAGTAAAGTAAAAAAAATTAAATATTGATTTCATGCCCAACGTAGCTGACCTATGACGAGTTAATTCGTCATCGATCAACAATACTTGGGCATTATAAGACGAGTTAATTCGTTACCCGTCAACAATGTGTTAATATCAACCAGAAGTAAGGCTATCTAAGGTTGCTGTCAACTGTTTTTTGCCAAAAGTACTTAGAACCTGATTTCACTCTAGAAAACACTTTTCATCTTTATCTATACATATCAGCGAAAATAAAGAAAATAAATAAAGAATAAATTTTTTTTTAAAAAAAGCGAAAAAAATTTATATTAAAAAATAAAATTACGTTTTTCAACTAGAATATTCTTCGATATAATTTTCAAGTACATTCATACTCTTTCCTTTTTTTTCAAAGATTTTCTATAAAAATATTATATATATACTTTTTTATTTCTATATATATACTTTTTTTGCTAGAGTAAACTTGCAATAAAATAAAATTTAATAATCATGAATCATTAAGGTACTCACTGCATTCTTTTAACTCATTTTTATCTCTATCTTCATCTGGTCTTTTTACGAACAACGAGTTGAAATATTTATCTTTATTTTCATCAGCTAAAATAAAAACAATTAAATGCTTCTCTGAAGGTAAATATCACTTTTTTATTAAAAAAAAAAAAACAATAATACTATAAAAATTTGGAGACAAAAATGTAAAAAATTAAGTTACATACACAGATATAAAAAATTATATTTCAAAATAACAAAAATTGAACGAAAGTACGTTCAAATAAACAGCTAGAACAAATACATTTAGAAAAGTTATTTCTTTACTTTTTAAATATTATAGAGTAATCTCATTATTAGAGACGTAAACTTTAAGTGGTAATGCCGGTTGTCTCAAAAATGCTTTAAGTCAATTAAAATACTATAATCAGTTAAAATGCACAGAATAAGCAGAATGCTTGCTGCGTTCTTTTTAGGGAATCAGTTCTTATTTTCACTGAATTTTAAAATTTTTCACCAGATGGCATTAATAATTGCAAGACTTCGGAACAATTTTATCTGTTGCATTTTCACTGCAATATTTTCAAAGGCTTCAGTTAATTTTATCCGTTTTATAGTCAGAAATAGTGATTGTTTTGAAAACATTGCTTTTCTAACTAACGTTGATGAACTTTGTAATTACTTTTGAAATTTGGGACAAGAAATAATTCATTTCATAAGCAGCAAACCATACATTCCTCGTGTTCTTCTTTAACTGATTTTTCAAATTGCTTTTTTTTAATTTCTTTTCTTAAAATAATATCTCTTTTTTTTTTAAATCTCAGGAACTAATCAATCAATTTATCTCAAATATTGACTTTTATTCTGAAACATCAATTACATAAACTGATTGTTTCCACATTTTGAATCATACCTTAACGTCTATAACTTTATTAAAGCAACATTTTCATAATTACATTTACACTGTTGGAAATTTCTCGGAAAAAATGGTTAAATAACAATTTATTGAATGGTCATTTTACCATATTTAATCAAAACAGTCAAATGACCATAAATAAAATGGTAATCAAACTGCTAAGTTTGAGAAAAAACGGTTTAATAACTGTTTTCACCTAATACGGTTAAACAACCAGAATTTTTTCGCACCAACTAGAACCATCAAATGAAGCTACTTTAGTTCTTTGCAACTGCGTACAGGTCATAGCCGAGCGGGCATATCTGTCAATCTCATGAGCTGCGGTACTGGAGTTTGAGTCCTAGTGTTGACACCTCAATATTTCCTCCATTCCTATCAACACATGAAGAATTTCCAGTATCCGGTACTCTCCAATGCCCATCACCTTAGGAAAAGCCGAGCTCCTATGTCTAGTTAAATAATTATTTTTTTTAAGTTTTTGAAAAAAGCAAGTTATAAATGGTTAAAAACCGTATAGTTTTGTATTCATGGTTTTATAACCATTAGTAAATGGTTTCAAAACCATAAAGGAAAATAATGTTCTTTACCGTAAACTTTACGGTTAATCGGATGGACAGACAACTGCCAGTTATTTTACCATAATTTTAGAATGAAAATTTTAACAGTGTATACTCATTATGTTTCATTTATAAATTTTCATAATTCGTTTTTACATGTACTAAAACTCTTTTTTCGAAATTTCATAAAAATGTATCTTATACAAAAATCATTTGAAGTTAAAAAATTTCCAAGTGTCTGGAATTTTTATCAATTTAGAGATGAATTTTATTGAAACTGTAAAAATTTGAACGGGTGTTTTACACTTTTTCAATATGGAATTTTTATGAATGTTTTATAATACTTTGAAAATTACTTTATTTCGTGTTTATTTTTTAAAATTTTCTTTCGTGTTAGAAAGGAACCTCGTGTTGTTCTCCATATTTTGAGAAATATTTCAGAATAAATGTCTTTAATGACATCAATAGTTTTTTTAGCAGTTTAAAGTTTTAAATTTTTTGAAAAAATAACCCCATGTTTTAAAAAGCGGACACTGTTAAAAATGCTATAACTGGTCACTAGCTAGCAGAAAATTTCCTAGTTTTACCCTGTAGTTTTTTGTAATTAAAAGAAAAATAAACATTATTTAATATTTTTTGTCAGGAGTGATTGAGCTGCAATGAATTTCATAAATAAATGAATTCATAATTTTCCTTTTTAATATTGATTTTTTTTTTTAACTCTTAGCTCATAATATACTTGAAATAGACTGTAGAGTAAATTGATGCAGTGTATTATCTTAACCATATCATACTCTTTTTTTTTTAAATGTCCTGAACGAAAAAGCTATTCTGTTTAATGAAATCTCTCTAATTTCTGTTAAACTACATTAACAACTCACATGAAAATTATGTCCAGCAATGAAAACTTTACGAATTTATTGCCAGTTTTTTAGTATATTTAATAACAACCAAACATAAAGAACAGCTAAACACACCTGTTTATTTTTAGTTGTTAAGTTGTTTTAATTAATGATTACGTTCACAAGAATCAATTAAATGCAAAATATTTATATTACACAAGAATACAAAACAAAACGTTTAATCATGGATTGACAACATTACTTCTCAAATTTCAGTATTAGAAAGAAAAGTTTTTTACACTTATGCAAATATAAATCTGAATAGCAAAAAACTCATTCAGTAACATTCAATATATTATGTAATAAAAATTGTCATTTCTGACATTGAAAAATATATATATATTTCGAAAATGCTATTTCGTATAGTTATATTTATTTGCATCTCAAAATGCGAAATAATATATTCTGGAAAAAAATATTCATATTTATATTTATGTGAAAGAAGTTCATTCATCTTGTCAATCCCTTTTTTTTAAAATATACGGGATAGTGAAAAACAGGAAGTTCCACAAAAAAAAATTCTTTGAAATCAAATAATCTTCAAGTCTGACAGACACAATAATATCAATATTTTCGTCTGAGTTTTACCTGCAGAAGTTTACGAAATTAAATTTGTATATACCAAATTTCATCAATANATTTACACACACATATATATATATATATATATATAACAAAATAAATAAATACAAAAAAGCACGAAGAAAATTAAGAAAAACAATAAGTTTCATTTATTGCGCATAAGCTGCAGGTAAACAGAACTCATTAGATAAATTCAAAATGAAGATAAAACAAAGAAAAATTTCAGACATATGAAAAAAAGGGGAGGAAGAAAAATAATAATAAAGAAAATAGCAAACAACTGGAGAAAAAAAAGGGATAAAGTTTTTTTTAAAAATCCGAAAAATAAAAGATATAATCCTTTCATCAGCCCACTCTTTAAGAACTTTGTTTTCAATAATAAGGATAATTTAAATAAGAGTAACAATCCAACAAATTTTTCTAATATTGTTCAATCAATTAAGCAACTTCAAAAAAATTTTGTAATTACTCCCATAGACAAAGCTAACAATAATTGTGCAATCTTCTGTAAAAAAATTCTAATGCTGAACTTTTAAATACGGAATTAAAAAGTAGTAAAAATTTTAAACTTAGTAATTTCAATAATAATATTGTCATTAAAAAAAATTTAGCTTCATATAAAAGATTAAAAATTAAAATTAGTAAAATACAATTTCCTTACTCAATTACATACCTGCCAACTTTTAATCCCTTCCATTATAATTTTTCCCAGTGGTAATAAAATGGAATTAAAATTTCAATTATATGCACAAAAATACGTTGTATTTGAAATACTATCAGCAGACAACCATTATAGTAACGCTTATTAACATATATGCTTAATCTTTTTAAGAATAGTGGTGATCAAAGTCATTTAAAAATTAAGTTTATAAAGGAAAATATAGTATCTATTTACTACCACTTTAAATATAAAAATAAAATTTTACGCCAAAGACATAAAAGTTGGCAGGTATGCAATTACCAGTCTAAATTTCAAAAAATTCCTGTAAAATTTGGAACTATCACTCGTGGATCTAATACTTATCTAACTGAACCTGGCACCATTTTCTCTAACTACTTAAATAAAATTATTAACAATATTTCTAAAGAAGGTTTCTCTTGGATTATCACTAAAACTCAACCGATTTCAGAATTCATTAAACCTAATAAAATTAATTCTATTGCGACTTTTGATTTCCAGGATCTTTTCAATAGCATTCCCCTTTCTAAACTAAAAGATGTCCTTTTGAATTATTACTATGATTTTAAAAGTATCCTTTGTTACAATTTTGACCATTGGGAAATTCTGATAAATTTTTGTCTTTTTAATAATTATCTTTACAATCGAAAGGATATTTCTCTTCAAATTGATGGAATACCAGAATGATCTAATTATTCATCTCTCTTAGCTAACCTATTTTTGCATTATTATGAAAAAAAATTATACTCTTAGTATTAAATTTGTTTTTAGATATATTGATGACTTAATTGTGTTTAATTTTCAAAATTATACCATTTTATTAAATGATATTTACCCCGAGGAATTAATCTTGCTTCGTAATCATGATGATAATTTAAATTTCAATTTTTTGGATTTGGGTATTATAAAAGATTAAAATATCTGCTTTGTTGATTTATACGATAAAAGAAATGATTTTAATTTTAATATAAATAAACTAATTACTTGGAATTCTAATGTTTCTAGGAACATCTATTTAAATACCACTTTTAATGAAATGAATAGAATTAAAAGAATATGTAGTAATATTTACTTATCCAAAAAAAAAATCGATAAACTCTTTCAAAATTTGATAAAAAACAATGGATAACCAACTAAAGTAATAAAATTCTATATAAAATCATTGACTTAATTGTATATTTTTGTGGGTATATTTACTAAAAATTTTCTACGTTAATTTATATAATTTTCCCACGTGTAAATCCATTTCGGGTAAATCCGTTGCCAAAATTATTTACTAAATAATTTCTTTGTTAATTTGTATAATTTTTCCATGTGCAAATCCATTTCGGGCTAATCCGTGGTTAAAATTATTTACTACAAATTTCTTTATTAATTTAAACAATTTTTCCATGTGCAAATCCATTTCGGGCAAATCCGTGATAAAATTATCAACTAAAAAAATTTTACTTTGTCAATTTATATAATTTTTC